AGTGTTAGATACGTAAACATATATCGTGATGTACACAACTCTATTAAATAATTAATAGGGAGGTCGGTTGTATACATCTGAGGCAAGCTTTACCTCTTCGTTTTATTACTCTATGGTTCTGAAAAAATATGTAAATTATTAACAGTACATTAAACAGGCACAGAGTATGTTTATGGAATCTTGTTCATGATCTGTTATGATCTTTCCTGCATTTGCTGTGTAATCTACATGTACTTGGGGTTTTCTCATGTACTTGGTTGGACACAAGGTGAGTACGTAAACTATATACAAGGAGAGTACATGTTCTGTATACAAGGAGAGTACATGAAATGTATGCAAGGAAGGTACATGTACATGTACAATGTACCTTCTTACAGCCTAGGATAACAGTGCTCTGCTAGAAAGCTCTCTGCACTATTTGTAGTGAACGCTGAGTGCAAAACAGGGTATCGTTATGAAAACCAGTTTTAAAATTTCGGGCTCTGTGAAAAGTGTCTGCACATATGGAGGGAGGGAAGGCCAAGCGGCCCTGAACCCCGTTCTCAATTAGCTAGCCTCCTTCTTTTACTACAGTGCCCACAGCCGGGTACTAAGTCAAGAAATAGGAATAACAAAGAGCTAATATGTAATACTGATCAGGTTTTAAATCCACTCCAATTAGCAATCTAAGACCTTTCTAGAAGGGTCCTTTCCCTGCTCCCTGAGCAGATCATTCTGCAAGCAGCAGTGCACACTAAATGCGATACTTCTGCTGGACTTGGAAAACAGTATAACATGCATGGACATGATTTTAGCGAAACATTCCTAATACGCCACTACTACAAATCCTAATCCTCATCTCCAACTCTCCTCTACCTACCATCTTTCCTTCTCACAAGCAGCGAAATGAGACTCGAGGACATTTCTCTATTAGATCCTACAAGAAAATTACCTCTAAGCGGGTCATTTAATTATCGTTCGTTAAGTAGCCCTCCATGTATAGGAAATTAAAAATGTGCAGTTTATAGCAAGGAAGATATTGCTCCCTGGCTGGAAATAGAAACTAACTTGAAGTGAATTAGAAGTGATAACCTTGCCAATGCAAGTAGAAATGTTGAGCGCTTCGAGGCTGCAATTACAATTAAAGGGAGTGTTCGCGAAAAATGAAAGGGGGTATAAGCTAAATGCGATAAAAAAGCGCTTTTGATCGCTACTAATCTTACTTCTATCTGTTGCGTCTATAAGATGAAAATTGTTAAAAACGACTAATACCGAAGAACGTAATATCATTACAAATTTAGAAAGATGCAACAAACGACTTAGACCGTAAGAAAATCTATTTAATTTCAAACAAATCATTCAGATATTACAACCTATAGTCATCGATTATCTTTCGCCACATTTGTATATAGTTGATTTTTCATAATAGGCGGGCAAAGGGAGGCAATAAAAAAAGAAACTGCGGACACGCAGATGGAGATGGAGAAAAAAGATGATTGTTGAACATTTGAAATTATTAACCGTGCCTCATATCATTTTATTTTAAAAAAATATAAAGGATAAATTATAAAAACATTGTTAAAAACATGTACTGTATGCAAGGTGAGCACATTTACTGTTTAAAAGGAGAGTACATGTACTAAAGACAAGGTGAGTACATGTACTGGATACCAGTTGAGTAAATGTACTTGGTTTGAATGTTAATATTGTGTGGACAATAAGAGAAAATAATAATTGTATTTCGTAACAGACACGCCTTTATAAAACAAATACATTTTCAAGGTTTGCAAGACATATGTTGTACAACAAGACTAGAAATTATGTAAAGCTTAATTTCTCAATGAAACTAAAAATCTACGAAAAGTTTTTTTTTAAATCCCCCAACGGCCATATTTGTTTCCAGGATTTCTTGAAACAGCTGAAAGCATTTCAGAAAAGGAATTTACAACTCCAGCGGATTTTAGAAGAGTTAAAAGTATTTATGAAGCTCTAGGCAAGTTGTTTTGATTATTAAATTAGAGAAAACAACAGATATTAACCTTTTTTAAAGGAGAATGTTTTGGAGTTGTTTCCCCATTGACAGGGCTTATTCAACTTCAATTAATTATTGGATATTATTATTCTATTGGACAAATTATAACTAAAACTGTTGAATATTCAGGTAAATAAAATAACTTATAAAGAAGAATTATTTTAAAAGTTTATAATGCAAGAGACACAGTTTGAAAATTGAAAACCCGTTTGAATGAATGATATAATCCAATTTATGGTTTCAGATATTGGAAGATTTGAAACCATATGTTCTGCTATATTACCAACTTCTCTACTATTCTGGTTCTATTTAATAACTTTACAAGCGGAAAAATCATTTGACACTATTGAGGGTAAAGTTACGATTGTTTTGTATTCAAGGGTCCAACCCAGTCAAAATTTAGAAGTATCACTAATCATTTTGAAAATTTTAAAACAAAAATAGAAAATACGCTTAATTCGTTAACTGTATTATTGCTTGCTTTGCAGCAATATTAAAACTAAAGAGGGGTATGAAGCGCCCTAGGTCCAATTATTGTAAAATTACTAAATAATTGTTAAATGCTTAACAAACAAAAAGAATGAAACTTCAGTGAGGACTCGACGAAATGTATTCACTCATTGATTCTTTCATTCATTTCTTGTATAAATGTTGTTCATTTCATAAATGTCGGTCCATGAATATGCTGAATAATAACAAAAATAAGTGTAATATTTGCATTTATATGTACAGGATTAATTGTAAGAATGGAAACTGCCCTGTTGTACAATGAGGAAAAGAAAACTAAACTACAGTATAAAGAATTGATTAGGAAAAACAAACATTAATATTTGAGAAATTAAAAAGATTTATATTTCTTCAAGATAATGAGTACTGAGTCCGTTTCTGAGGCCATTCATTGTTAAAATTACAGTGGTCGACCACAAACACGTCCCCGATTGTGGTCGTAAGAATTATCTATTCATTAGATACGAATGTAGCTTGAGGTATCTAGCGGCCAAACAATTGTCCCCCAAAGTACGTATACGTCAACAAGACGCCCAATCGTAGACAAGGTTCGGCCTCCATGGACAAAATAAGGCCTATAAGCAAGACTACAATACAAAACAATTAGAATGATTGTTTGACCCTGGGACGTCTTATATAAACCCCATTTTTTAAAGGACAACAGAAAAATTTTATGATGTCGCCTCGAAAAATGTTTAGTGAGTATTGCCCAACAGAATATTCACGGCATTTAATCTTTTAAAATATTGGAAAACGACATTTGTCATTTTTGTATGGGATATGGCGCAGGACGTACATAGTGAGAGACGATTTCTGGTCGACCATTGTAGTGTTAAAAATCGAAACAGTTTCTGTGTTAGAAATTCATAAATTACGTTTTAGAAATATCCTTTCGTTAATTTTCCGTAAGTTTGAGTTTGTGTTTTACAGAAGTTTTACCCGTCTCCAACCAATCAGTGGAAATGGATACTTTGTGTTTCAAAAGAGTACAGTTGTCAGGTATAAGTACAACTTGTACATTTTACACTGTACTGTTTACAGTTTACCAATAAGGGTACACAACACATACTATATAATGGCTTAAAACGAAAGCAAACTTTCGCACAAAAATGCGCGCTTGCATATTCCGCAAATTTCTGCGCAGATTTGTGCCATTTTTGTCCGAAAATGAATTTTCCGTACAGTTAATCCAGAGGCAAAACTTGTATGTTTTTAATCGCAGGATCATGTAGTTATCTTGTTTTATCGTCAAAAAGGAATAAATTCCTATTGGGTATCCGGAAATCAATAATCAAGAGTTTCTACAGAGAATATCGAAATCAAACTTTGTAGATTAACGCGCAAAAGTGTCACTCTTTGTGGGTGACCTTGTAACTTTCCTGAAAAAATCTGAAGAACAAAAGTAAGAAAAAATCCCCCCCATTAATCTATTTTTTTTCAGCATAATCTCCACCACTGTTACATACCTCATTATATTGGTCCAGTTTAAGATGGCGGAGAAATAAATTTAGGCACGTGTTAAAAGTGGTAAAATATGTAAACAAATCTTCATTATGAATTAAAAATGCAAAAAAAATTAGGATAAGCAGGATTAACTAAAAAAACAAATTTTTGAAATGTAGTTTTTCAATCGATTGTTTCGTTTTTTTTCTTAAAAACTATTATAACTTAGTTTCATCCTTTAAAAAACGATAATTTCGTTTTTAGATTTTTTTTTCATCGTGGACAAAACGGAACGAGCGTCTTTTATAAAGTCTAAACTGCCCAAATAGATTATCAAGTACAATAGGTGGCAACAGAGAAAAGGATCAATTATACACGACGTCACAAGTGTCAAATATAACAAGGAAAACGAAATTTTTTCATATTAGTCGACATGTTTTTCAAGATTAAATAAAAAAGTGTAAAAACAGAAAATAAATAACACTTAAAATTGCACCCTTTTCACTGAGAGATAAGCTCTTTGTTCTAAAATTATCACTAATAATTTTGTTGGAGACAATACTGAGTTGACATTTGTGATGTAAAAATACAGCTGTACTAAGAGTGTACAAATACTACGTTGCTATCTATTGTACTTAAAAATCTATTTGAAACTGCCCACCTTTTACATGTGACCACAACTGTTGTATAACAACAGGTCACTGTAACCAGCTTTTGAATATTCATTCATTTTCTGTTTGTTGCCACTTTTAATATCATGTCATAATATGATAAGAATAAGCTTTTTTTTGGAATTTAAATAAAAAACGAGCAAGAATACTCATTTTAAAAACTGAAAGGAATTTTAAAAATAATCATCATGCAACATGATCAATTATATAACATTTATTGATTTTTCTTATGTATGGTATTAATATAATTATATAGTAGATTACTTAAATATAATTATATAGTAGATTACTTTAATATAATTATATAGTAGATTACTTTAATATAATTATATAGTAGATTACTTTGACACAAAAAGTGTTTGAAAAAAATACAGTCAAAATAATATGCATGTCATTGGTTAAAATATATAAAAAAACTTTTGCAATCTGCAAAAATAAAATCAGTGTTTAAGCTTGATCAGTGGAGGTTTCCACAACATTAGGTGTACACTCGCCCCAGGATTCGTACTCAGTGACTTCTTCTATATTCTCACATGTACACTGGTCAAGCTGGCAGTTCATGATGGCGTAGTTGCAATCCTAAAAATAAAATAAATAGATGTCTTACAAGCTCAATGATCAGTAGCGCGCCTGAATGTCTTGCAGATATTTGTTAAGTATATTCACTTAGATTTACCGAACCTTAACCAAAATTGTGAAACTTTATTAAAAAATTTTGATTAAATTAATTTTTTTTTATTTCCTGCAGTGTCTTTGTAAGATTAAAATAAAGTTTAATTATTTAATGTAAATACAGATTTTTTTTAGTGGTACTTGCATAGATTAAGAACAATACAGATAGAACGCTAGATGTCGTCTTTTCAAGATTCAGGGTTTTTCGTTTACAGGCGGAAGCCCAAAGAAGTTACGCGCATGCTCCCTCTTGTCTTGTCTTTTAACGGGGCATACACGTAACTCTGTTGGGTGTCTGTCTCAGGGTTATTGTGAACGACAAATCCTTAACTCTTGAGAAAGCGACATCTAATGTTGTATCTGTATTGTTATTAATCTATGGGTACTTGCTTATTTCGACACTATATGAAGATAGCCCTCTATGATCAGGGATGTCTTACAACTGAAATTATGTTATTTGTGCAGCAAGATCGTTGACAACAAATAAAAGACGATATAATTTAAAAACAAAATGGCGAAGAAACTTACAGTTTGATCTCTGCAATTCTTGGTTGGGTGTTCCTCCCTCCATTCAGCCTTGAAGTACCAGGGGTCAAGGCACTGGTTGTTAGTGCAGGCACAGGGCTTGTCTGCCTCACATTTACCTGAGAAAAATGTAGTTTTCTCAGAGAAGGTTTATGAATGATCAAAATTTCAAAAATTTGTGCTTAAAGTTTTTTATATTTGCAAACTTTGAAAATGCACAAAAAAATATTATGAAATCCGCAAACTTTTTTTTTACAATGTGCAAACAGGAGATGCTCACAGATAAAGCCACAATTAAAAGTTGAAATAGAAGATGGGCGCAAAACGCCCTAAAAGGGCCTTGTAATATTTGTTTATTTGTATATATGTTAGCTATAGCTGCCCAAACTGCTGACCGATTTTTTTTATGGAAACACATGGGTACCCTGGGGGGTCAGAGATATAAAAATTTTTTACTTAACCTATTGTTTCTTATTTTATAAGTCAGGCTATGCAATAATCCAGACAAAAAATTTCCTCTTAGGGGGTCCCATATCATGCCTAATTTTAAGTTCGGATTGGATCGTTATGTGCATTTATGAGTTATGACAATAAGTCAAACATTATTTAAACAAGTGCAAATTTTGAGAGAGAAACGTATTAAAAGTTTTTAAAAAATTTAACACGTAAATAATATTATAAATAAATATACCGAGATTAACGCAGTCAGATAGTTCCTCACACTCTGAAGGAAGCTTCTCTAAGACGCAGAGACTGTTTTCACACCTAAACATCAGGTTCAAAAATAACGACATGAAGGATAAAAAATTATTCAATAGCAATGTAAAATTTTACGTTTTCATAAATCTTGCAGAAAATATACAATGGTCTTAGAAACAATTAGCAAAGTTTAAGAGCAGACATAAAAAATATCTGTCGCAACCTAATTATTAATAATAAAGTATTGTAGCCTTCCCCCCCCCCTCCCAATCAAACAGGTATCCTTGGAGGGTCATTGGAGGCTCCCTGGATAACTGCCCTCTTCAAGGATTTTATACGCTGGTCAGGCTAAGGGATTTTAATATTTAGGAATTATGTATATTTTTGACAAGCAGGTCTTAAGAAGAAAGCTGTTTCATAATTTTGATAAGAATATAATAATAGACCTACCCACATGTATATCCCTCTGTGGTGGAGCAAAAGTTTTCATCCTTAACACAATCCTCAGGGGTGGAACATTGAAACTCACATAGGTTATCTAGTTATTGGCAATATTAGAGCTTTGCCAATTGAAAATGTATGGAAATTTCCAAAACGTTTTACAATCTAAAAGTTGGTGACAATCTTAAGAATGAATTGCATTAATGAAAACGTTTAACAATCTAAAATTTAAAAATTTGGCCAATCTTCAAGAAACTTTTGGCAATCTAAAAAATTCTAGCAAATATAAAAAAGTTGGCAAAAATTGTTTATTTGTTATTGTTTTACCTGAACATGAGCACTCCTTGTCTGCACACTTACCCAGTCCAGTGCAATCAGTGCTATTGTGGCACTCCCACTTATCCTAAAGTAAATATATAGAATGTATAAAGTATGGAATTTCCGGCTGAGGAAACAAATGTTCGGTAAAGAAACAAAATCACATTTTACAGAAACACCCTATAAGATTAATTTATAACTCATGTCTCATGGTGATCCTCTTTTCTTTATATGTATATAAACATTTTTATAAAATCAATATACTAAATATGCTTCATGGACAACTTTAAAAATGTTGGTGGTTCAACTTTTCAAAAGTATACCCACAATCTTTTCTTTAGGTAGTTATCAATCTTTGGCTTGATAATGCTCGACTTAGAAACATATTCATTAACAATATATTTCAAGTACCCCAGCAGGGATAGGGTTAAGGGCACACAAAAAAAAACCTTTTAAGAAAGAATTGATAGAGAATCACGGTTGTAGAAACTCATTAAAAAAATGACCAGAGGTCGGATCGATTTGTGACATATCATTAATCATATAAACGTATGATCTTGATTTCAAATGTGGACACTTTTGAATTTGAGGATAAATGTTTGATCCCTTAATTAATAAAAGAGGAATTGAATTAATCTGAATAAGAGATCATAATGCTTGATCCCGAGATTCACAACATAAATGTTTTGACTTTAGTTTACATAAAATAATCCAAAAATACATAATCACAAATCACAAACTAAATTCACCTCCGGATCTGAGATACAGGTTCCATCACGGCAGAAACAAGTCTCAGGAGTTTCTCTAAAATACAATACATAATAATTTTTAATAAAGCAAAGCCTACTGTTGTGTAGGCAAAAAGTTTAACGGTTATGTGTTTATTTTTAACTCTTATTGTTGGAGTTTATTTTGATTGATAAACATTTTTCTGAGAGTAAATGATGTATTTAAATGAAACCGGCTATCAAACCTGAATATATATATATATATATATATATAGTTGGTTTCATGGATGAAAATGAATTTCAGAACTTCTACGGTTTGATCTTTAAAAGTGGTTTTTATTGCTTGATTTATTGCAAAACTTGTTTTACTATTTATATATTTTTTAATTTTTGAAATTTGCATTTTATTTGCCTTGCAAGATTGCATGTAATGTTTGCAACCCGAGAACCAGAATATGGCATGCAAATTGCAAATAAAGCCTGAATTTGAGGAAAAATACAAATATTGTGTTGAAAGCTATAGGAAAAAATTCAATACAGAATCCAACTGGACCTTACTGAGGGAAAACTGAAAAGAGCACAATTTTTTGTTCTTAAAACTTTTATCGAGAATTTGAGCAAGTCATGTTTATTTTATATATCTTTTGTTGCTTTACAAGAAATAGCGGAATCAATTTGCTATTTAAACAATTCATGTAAATTTAATTTCTTTTTTTCAAAAATCTAAAATTTAAGAATTCGTTGATGTGAATTATTGAATAAAAGATAGAGATATATAACTGACAACAAATAAACCCTAATTTTAATAAATGATATTAAAAAACAAAGGATTACTTGCACTCGCAATCCTCGTAGTTGTTGCATTGAGTATCTCTAAAGAATGGATTGCCAGCTGTTATACATGAACCAAATCTACAGACACAGCTTGCATCCTAAAAAATATACTGTAAACTCCAAACATTGATCATAAATACAAAGAAATTAGTCTTTTTGCACAACTTTAATTTGTTTGTCCCCTTAAATTATAAATTCTCTTTTGATAGAAATTTCTAAAAGTTTTAAAAAGGTCTACCAATATTTATAATATTTGATAGTGATATTCTCAAAGAAACATCCTCATGCTTTCCAATTTGAAAATCGTCTTTAATCCTTAAAATAATTTGCGGCATTTATTTGTCAACCTATAATAATGCTTCTTGAAAAAAAAATAATTACAAATTAACCAAAGTGTTGCCATTTCCAAAATGTGGTCTGTTTTTTGTACTTTTAAAATTAGCAGAGATATGAAGAATTCTGAACGAAATCGTTAATATTTCAGGTAATTTTGAAAACACAAAAAGGCGGACCACATTATGGAAATAGAAGCTTTCTATATTACAATATTTAAGCCTCTCATAAAACTTTGAAAGCATTTCCATGTATGCTGTGAGATCAATAAGTTTCGCTAAAAAAAATCAGGGAAACTTTAAAAATCTCATCCCTGAAATTTTTTTTTTAAGTACACTATATTTATACCGGATATTTTTTGAATCAGTTGATGTCAATCAGATCTTTGTAGTAATTGTATGGAGCGTTCTCTCAAAGTATATCAGCTTCGTTCGTCACAGCAAGAAAATGTTCAACATGGTCTCAAACTTGATCCATCAAAGTCTGTTTTAGACCATTTAAGAGCGTTTAAAAAAAGATGAAGAATTTAATGTAGGAAGGACTTTTGAGGATTTTCTGGTTTTGATTTACATACGAGATACATAATCATTGTCATCCCTTTGGTCCTATGTCGGAGACTTTGGGACAAATTTTGCCCAGATCTTTGTGATTTACAAATCTTGCTTTACAACCTTGTTTACAATGTAAAGGTATATATCAAACTGTCTGGCAAACAAACTTCTAGAAGCCTTGTTAATATGATCTGAACAATTTTTAATATTTTTGACAATCTTTGGGGTCTGGATGGTCTACTCCCGCCCATGGCATGTTATAATCCTTCAAATATTAATTTTTTCCTTCTTATCCCCATTAAACTGCCATTATAGTTCATAATATCGTTTTAAAATACGTTCTGGGTTCTGTTTGGTTATTGCATCGTCTAATAAAAACATTTTTGGGCAACCAAGCCTTACATTACAACAACAATCTGCCTGACGCCAACCTGGCCAATAATGTATCCAGTATAGATAAACCGAACTTGTAGAAAAAAATTTTGATCTGAGACTTTTAGAAGTACCCCTAAAAAAATGTCAGCGAAACTTACTGATACACCTCGTCGCGGATTATATGAACTTGACCGGCCGTTACCAATAAACTTTTGTACTGGTTCGGATAAAGCACATAATATTTTACGGGACCAAATGTATCTCTATCAAATGCATCTGTATCTCTACCTGAATATCTAAACACTCGGCCTTTGAACTACAATCTCTGGTAAAGGAGCATTCTTCAGAGAATACACCCTGTACAGATAGTACAGTCAGTACAGCAAGTACAAACATATTATCTGAAACAATTAGTTCAATAAACTGATTCTATTTTGCAATAGCTGTAAACCCATTCCATTTTGGGAGTACATTTTTAGGCAGTTTCAAATTTTGTTTTGAATGTTTTTTGTTTGATAAGATCTTAATATTTGTATAGTACGTGCAGAACATATATTGTTCGAAATATCGCTGTTTTTAAAGATTTCTTTATCATTCTAAACGCTTGTATCATGCAGATTTAAATATGTTGGCAATTTACGTTTATACTGCTACATTTGAATTTGATCTATACTACACAATACACATAGTATAACCCTTACTTATGTATACAGTACATACAGTTCATACAGTACAACAACAAAAAATTATTTCAGTTCAAAACTTAAAAGAAACTGTCCGGGGGTCCCAAACAAAACCTGGCTTTGTGATAAGAGAGTAGCAGTTTTAGTTTTTAGTCTATGAACTTGTTCAACATAAATATCTATTCATTACTTAACAATTGTAAAGCAAATGAAGAAGGGAAAAAAATTTTAATTCGAACTTTTTCAATTTTTTTGCAGAAAAAAAAATATCAGACCTGAAAACTTTTGAATGGGATATCCTTAATCATGATCAGTTAATTAATCTGGAGATTATTATCAAGAGGAGAACAAGCTTTATTCAATCTCGAGATAAAGAAAAAGAGTGGATCAAGCATTAATCCTGATATCCAGAAATCAAAAGTTCCCAGCTCAGTATGATAATACATGGGAGGATACTTGGATATTTGAAAGATGCAAATATTAAACCGCCGAATATTTTGTTATTTTAAAAATTGTTTGATTTAATGCAAAAATATTATTGTTTTGGTAGCATATCAACTAAGAACAAATACTTTTATCGTGGATTTTTTCGGGAGTATTTTAATTTTCCGTGTATTTTGGTATATATTGGTACATACGCTTTATGTTTTAAAAGAATACATAAATTAAATAAGTTGGATTTAGTTTTCGAATCTATGTTGATTGGTTGAATATACCTGAAATACTGGTCTCATACAAGAGCAATACCACTTTATAAACCAGGCTTAAACAGGCATACATGCATTGCAAATACAGGCAGTACAGGGGGAACTTCAATAATATTAGAGTTTCTAACATTTTATCCAAATCAATTAAAAAAACCTCAGAAAATATATAATATATAAATATTTTAAAATCTAATAAATGAGATAAAATATTCTTTGTGTTGCCCTGTTGATTTGGATTTTCCAGATGGCAGGGTCTAACCTAATCTAACACGTTCAACTTGAACATTTATTTTTTAAACTAAAATATTTTGAAAAAGGAAAAGTAAGATTATAAGTTCATAATATAATAATTAACATATTTTAAAGAAACGATAACGATAAACTATAAATTCAAAAAACAATCCAAATTAAAGTTGTAATCAGTTTTGAAAAAGGGAAACATGGATAAATAATCAGTTTTCAAAAAGGTAAACATGGATAAATAATTAGTTTTGAAAAAGGGAAACATGAATAAATGATCAGTTTTCAAAAAGGGAAACATGAATAAATAATCAGTTTTGAAAAAGGGGGAAACATGGATAAATAATCAGTTTTCAAAAAGGGAAACATGGATAAATAATCAGTTTTGAAAAAGGGAAAAATGGATAAATAATCAGTTTTGAAAAAGGGAAACATGGATAAATAATCAGTTTTGAAAAAGGGAAACATGGATAAATAATCAGTTTTGAAAAAGGAAAACATGGATAAATAATCAGTTTTGAAAAAGGGAATCATGGATAAATAATCAGTTTTGAAAAAGGGAAACATGGATAAATAATCAGTTTTGAAAAAGGGAAACATGAATAAATAATAAGTTTTGAAAAAGGGAAACATGGTATATATATTTATATATTTCTTCTTTATCAGAAAATTGTTTTAAGTTTACCGTTGTCAATCGAACATTCTCCTTGATAAATGGAAAAAAAATTGAAATTAAAGTTTGTTCATAATCCATGTAATAAACCTATTTTGAGATAGTTCCTATAAATATCTTCCTTGGTCATATTGTTTAGCATGGAAAAATTTACCGTCGAATCAGCCCAAAAAAAAAGATAAATTTTAAACAAAGTAAGCATGAATAAACCCTTTTTATAGTTTTGTTGCTGCCTAGACATATTCTTGTTTTACTGGACAATCCGGCCAGTAATTAAAACAAGTATAGAAGATTATACCAGTTTCTACCGGACACCAACCTTTCATTTATGCATCAGCCCCCTCCCCCAGAATAAAACATACCTTTTTAATGTACTTTTAGATTGCCATACATGATTCACATCCGCGGTCTCTCAAGAATTTTAATTCTTACGTTTGTTACAGAATGCATATAATGAATTTTATTAACCGACAATTTACGTGATTTTTTGTGCAACTTGTTTTTCGCACAAAAATGTCAGTGGAACTTTTTAAATCAGGAAAATCACTGATTTATGAAAATCATGAAACTATGTATGATAATTTCCAAAAAAAACGATTGCAACTATTATCATTTTTCGTTTGGGATTTTTAAACAAAACTAGCTTTTTTTCTCTAAACGAATAAGTAAACTATTAAAACGAAGGTTTTGCTAAAAAATACGTTAAAAAAGTTGATTAAAACCAATTGTTTAAAACGCTAGTTTTGGTTTTGAATCTTTTACGTCGTTTCAGAAGAAAAGATATTTTTTTGGATTTTTATCATCGTTAACGAAACGATCAAAATCGTTTCTAAGAAATAGAAACTGTTGAGTGCCCAGCCATATCTGTATCTGGACTGTTTATTACTATAGTTTGGAATTCCCAACTGAACCCAACACTGGAAACATTTTATTGCGTAGTTTCTCTTCGTAATTCTACCTTTAGCTTGGCAATCAAATATACAAGATTATCCAAAAAGGATGAGACTGTAAAGACGACCTAAAACTATTAAAATATGACGATACCAAGGTTAAAATAAGTTGCCTGACAAGAAAAGAGTCCTCTAATGGCTTATTAAAGGATTTGAAAAAGAAACAAGTAGTCTTGAAAATAAGGAGGAAACAGACAGTATGAATTTCTTCTGTCAAGTCTCATTTAAATGCAGGACCTTGGCCTCAGAATTTGAAATCAATATTTTTATTATTGTTTAAAATGTGATACTGCAAAACGATATAATTGAAAGGAAATATTTTTTTGGTGTTTTCCACCTTTAGAACGGACTGTGCATTTATTTATGCAAACCAATAAATTTAGTATTTTTTCACATTTCAGTCGCTTGCAAAAAATGCGAAAATATTCGCATTTTGTGCGAAATTTCGCGTTAATCTGTTTCGCGAAAAAAAATTACGAAAATTTCGCGGGAAAAAATCTGAACTTTCAGAGAAGAGAATTCCACAAGTTTTTTGCGAATTGTTGCAGGAACAACACGAAATTTCGCGAAAAAAATTGCGAAATACGAACGAAAACTTTTGCGAAAGTTTTCGTTCCCTGGAAACCTTACAGAATAGGCTCTTCATGCAGGACACCTGCCTTTAGATTGCAGATCCTGAGTGGGTACTTTCCCTTTGCCCCCCCCCCCCCTCCAATACTTTCATTCTTCTGAACTGCAGAATATAGACAGTTAAAAACATTTAAACTAATTTCTAATTATCAACGCTTGTAAGAAATGATTATTCAGTATATATCAAGTAATACCCTCCACTACAGTTTCAGTAGAAGTAAATATTTTCATTTACTGATAGCGCCGACTAAAGGATTTATATCTCTAATTGTATAATGAGATAGATCGGAAGACAGATGTTACCGCGGACCGCCATACTATTTCTATTGGTTCAGAATAGACAACAAACACGTGACTGAACTCTGATTGGATCAGGCGCTATTGAAGTGTCCCAGGAGTGTCCCATACCTATAACCAACACTTCTGTTCCATACGAAAAGTAAATAAATTGAAAATTATCAACAAAACAAGGAAAATATTATAACATCTATAAACAAGCATAATGAAATGTTTTATGATAAAATAAATTGAACAAAGTTTTCTTTTATAGATTGATTAGATTCAAAGTAGAAAACCTAAACTTTAAGTCTACCATGTGCGGTAGCCAGTGCAAAAAAAATGTTGTGCTTTTTTCTTGAATAGAAATATGATTTATCGTCATTGTAGAATGTAGAGAGACAATTATGTCAAGTAATTTTCTCACACCTACTTTATATCATTCTGTCTTTCCTATTGGATTTATTGTTCTGCTATTAACAATTTGAACTATGGAATAGGAAGACGACATTAATGTAATTTAAATGTTTTATTAATAGCTTACAAATCATGTCTTAAAGGGAGTGACCGGCTAAGTAAGGTTGTTAACAAATTCAAGAAAACACGAAGACGATTACTACTGTGTAGCGAAGTTGACCGCGGAAGATTCACAATACTATAATACTATATCCGCTCCAAATGTGTCTCCTCATGTTCCCCCCCCCCCTTACCGCCNTCTCATGTTCTTCTTCAGTTCTCGTCAATATGATATATTGCTCAGTGAAATATTGTTGTTCAAATAGTTCCATTCCCGGAGTTATTTTACACTCAATTATCAAATCCATTAAAACACCAAACCACCCCGCTTATCATTGAAGTACACTTTGACCCCTAGAAGTATGAGTTCGCGGACTGTACAATTCTTGGTAATTTTGCGTACATAAGCTATCTATGTTTATTTATTTATCTATGATTCATTTGAGACATATTAACCTTTTTAAAGATCTGTAAATCGTGAGTTTGAGTGCAAATTCTAAATCCAAAACTCCTACTTTGGGGGTGGATATGTTTTCAGGATTGATTTTTTTAATTATTAGATAACGACAACAAAAAATAAAGTAAAAATTATATAGTAATCTACTTGGATGGTTAGAAACATATTTCAAAAAGAAATTTGTAATTAAATCAATGCTAAAATCGATTATTTCGTTTTCATTATTATATTGAATTTCAAATTTTCTTTGAATTTATTCGCAGATTTCTTCAAATTCTTCAAATGCCGTTTTTTCAATAATA